GAGGAAAGAGGAAGTAGTAAGGAGTCAGCATGGGGAGAGTAGAGAGAGCAGAACACCAGCCCCACTCTCCGCTAAGATGAGACCACATGGAAATACTTTTAGATTAATAGAAATGGGTTAATCATTAAGACAGAGCTAGCCGATAAGAAACTAATAACTGTCCAACAGCATTATACCTAATACAGCGTGTCTGTGTGTTAATTGGAGCTGGCTTGGCAGTGGGACCAAGCAGCAGGGAAAATACTAGTAATAGGAAAGGAACAAGATCTCCTGAGTATATTGAGAGTGGGGGCTGGAGGAGGCAGAAAGTAGAGAGGGAGCTAGGAGAAAGAGGAGAGGAGAGCATGTGAGATTAGGAAGCTGAGTCAGGGGAGGAATAGATGAGAGGAAAAAAAAAAAACCAACAGAGGGAGCCATTATAGGTTTGAAGAGAAAACTAACTATATATAGAGAAATGTCCAGAGACCTACAAGGATAACCCCATGTAACAATCTGACCAACAGTGGAAAATCTACCTTAAATGCCCTTCCTTGATAATGAGATTGATAACTATCTACCATCATAGAGCCCTCATCTAGTAGCTGATGGAAACAGAAGCAGACACCCTCAGCTAAACACTGAGCCAAACTTCTGAAATCCAGAGAGGGAGGAGTGATGAGAAAATGGGGGCAAGACCAAGCTACAGAAACCCACTGAGACAGCTGACCTGAACAAGGAGGAGCTAATGGATGTCCAGACTGATAGCTGGGAAACCAGTATTGGACTGACTCAGACCCCCTAAACATGAGTCTCAGTTAGAAGGCCTGGGCTGTCTAAGGGACCTCTGACAGTGGAACCAGGATTATCCCTGGTGCACAAAAGGATTTTGGGAGCACATTCCCCATGGAGGGGTACTCCCTTAGTCTAGAGGCAGGAGGGAGGGCCTAGTCCCTACTCCAAATGGCTTGACAGATTTTATTGATCCCTCCTGGAAGACATCACCCTCCCTGTGGAGTGGGGGGGGGGAGTAATGGGAGGGAGGGATAGGGGGAGAGGGAACTGGGATCGATATGTAAACTAATAAAATAATAAAAAAATTATTCCAAAAAAATGGTCAGATTTCTGAGTTGGAGTTATAGATGATTATGAGCCCCCATACGGATACTGAAAATTGAATCAAGGTTCTCACAAAGGGAAAAACAGTCAGTACTCTTAAATGTTGAGACATCCTTGTCCTTCCAGCTCCTGAAAGAACCACTTTTACCCATGAATTCTAGACTAGCCTGGGCAACACACACAGATCTTCTTCAAAAATGCATACACACACTCAAAAAGGCATGTGAACGGTCTTAGGATTTTGGGATTCAGTGGCAATTGGGACATCTTTGTAGCACCATGAATAGGAATTATGCATGTCTATGTATTCTATGGTAGACTGGAAATGAGGCAGGAGGGTTTAGTGCTAGTCTCAGATAAGTGTCAAAATCCAAGCAAATAAACAATAACCCAGTACCAAAAGTTCATTTTTGTTCTGTTTTTTTTGCAATGATGGGAATGGAAGCCAGGAACCCAAGCATGCTAGGCAAGTACTCTACTACTGAAGCTCATCCCTGGCTACAACAGACTACACAATACAAGCTCCTTACTAGCAATTTTAGTGGTTGTAAACAAAACCATGTGAAATGCTTCCTCTCTTCATGTTCAAGACCAGGAAGGCTCTCCGCTAAGGAGACAGAGAGAAGGGTTTCCCACAGAACTGTAATGAGTAGGGTTTATTTTCATCTGTCTTACCAGCTGCACCATCTGTAGCCAACAGTTTGTCTGAGCCTGGTACCCAAGGGCTCCTTGGGTTTCTGGAAGCCTTGGATTGCACCAGTGAGTCAGCCTTGCTCAGCACCAGCTTATCTTTTTCTCCTTCTGCAACGCCTGCTCTTCCCACAGCACCTGCACCGATTTTGCTATCTTCTCTGCCCCCGTAACCCTAGCAACTGCCCATCTGCTCCTCCTTGTCCCTAATAAGAGTGGTCACATTGGCAGTTTCTTTTCTACATCCCTCACATACACACAAAAAGGGAACCTCTGATGTTATCAAAGTTTTGCCTTTCCAGTACCTAACCAGACCCACTAATATGATCAGTTGTTTTAGAGTATAGTTCCTGGAGTGAGTCAAGGATCAGACCTGGGGAAAGCCCTTACAAGCAGAGGGAAAAGAAAAACCTTCTGTTGTAACTGTAAATGAGTGAGATGAATTTCAAACAAAGGGTTGAAGACCTACTTGATAAAGGGGGAATGGCCAAAAGGTTGTTGCAGTGGTCTGAGAGACATGTTCAAGTCTAATGACAGGTGAAGGTACTATCTTAAGGTTATGGGAAGAGATCAGTAGGATAAACACAGCAAGGCTGTCAAGTGATGAAGGGAAAAGGCACCCAAGGCTCAACAGGATATGATTGTTGGTGTAATTCCTGAAAAGAAGCAATGTCTGCAAGGACCATTTAGAGCCGTTGTGATGTGGAAATTTGCAGTGCTGCAGGTCTATAAGCGAATCACCTATCTTGGAATAGTTTGTTTTTAGATTTGTTATTCTATGGTTGTTTTACCTCTATGTCTGGGAAGCATTTATAATTGCAGTTGCAAGGGACCGTTAAATCTGGTCTTCTGAAAAAGCACAGCCAGTATCCTTAACTGATGAGCCATCACTCCAGTCCCCATTTCAGGTTAGCTTTAGCTCCTGGATAACCATTCCTTGCTCACCTGTCAGAACATCCTGTGACTAATAAGATTTTTAAAAAAACACTTTGGAACCTGTTCCCTTAGCAGACTACTAGCTTCCACCAACCCAAAAGCTAAGAATGCCACCAGATAGCACCTGAGACCTACAGAAGAGCCTCCTCCATCTTTCTGTGACCACCTTTCTGGAGTACCCACCAATATTAAAATCTCCTTGATAATGACTTTCTTTGCTCTGTAAGACTAACTTCATGAAGCTTGTTTCCACAGCGGAACAGGAATTTGGGGTAACCTAAATCTGTTCTCAGGCCATGGTCACTCAGATTTGGCTCTAGAATGAACTATTTCTTATTCTCTTTAAGGTGAGAGATATGCTTGTTTTTTTCACATCAACACTGGAGATCCTAGCCATGGTGTCACCTTAATACCTCATGCTTCCAGCCAGTTCTCTGCTTCTCTAGGGTGCCCCACCAGGACTATCTTGGAAAGGTGTTTGTCTGCACCCCATTTAGCAACTAAAGATCATTTCCCAATGCACACTGAAGTCAGTGGTACACCCACATGATAGCTGGAGACAGAAAATTCCAAAGGCTCTGCAATCTTAGAAACCCATGGTCTGTGGATCTCCACTGTGAACTAAATGAGGCCTGTCCCCTGACCTCCCTCAATATTCCCTGAAAACACACACACACACACACACACACACACACACACACACAAAATAAATACATGTAATACTTTCTTTTAAATATATATATGCAAATGTAACTATTTCAAACAAAATCCTATTTATTGTTATGGTTTTTTGTGTGGCTGTATGTGCTCGTGTGTACACAAGTATGTGGAGACTACAGGTCAACAATCCCATCTTCCTTATTCATTCTACAACCTATTCTTTTTAAAGATTGTTTTTATTTATTTGTGTGTGTGTGTGTGTGTGTGTGTGTGTGTGTGTGTGTGTGTGTGTGTAATGTACGCCATATGTGTGCAGGTGCAAGATCAGAAGAGGAATCCATTCCCTGGAAATGGAGTTTTAGGTGGCATTGGGGCTGGGAACCGCTCATATCCTCTGAAGAACAGCAAGCACACCTAACTGCTAAGCCATCTCTTCAGCTCTACATCCTAGCTTCTGAGATGAAGTTTCTACTGAGGCTGCAACAAGCCAATCCCACCAGCTGGCTGATAGCAAGCTCTGTGGATCAGGCTGTGTCCACTCCCCTGACCACTCCAAACACTGAAATTACAAGCACACATCACTATGCCCAGCTTTTTACCTGTGTGTTGGGAATGCAAACTGTCCTTATTTTTAAAAGTTATTTGGGTGTGAGTGCTGGTATTTGTAAGCTATTGCACACATATAGAAGTCAGAGACAACTTCTAGGAGTCTGTTTTCTCCTACCTCTGGGTATAGAGCAAAACTTTTATTTTTAAAAAGTTCACAGGCCACATGAGTTCAATAGCCATGATCTGCTGACTCCTGGTATATATACCCTGTATGAACATATAGGAGGGGTTAGTAAGATGGCTCAGTGGAAGAAATCATTTGAAATACAAGCTTTAAACCCTAAATTCACATGGAGCCGTGGTGGCACAAGCCTTTAATCTCAGCACTCAGGAGGTAGAGGCAGGAGGATCTCTGTGAGTTTCAAGCATGCCTGGCCTACAGAGTTCCAGGATAGCTAGAGCTGTTACACAGAGAAACTGTCTTGAAAAACAAAAACAAAATCTAAATTCAATGCCCAAAACCCAATTTAAAACCCAGATACAGCCGGGCATTGGTGGGTGCACGCCTTTGATTCCAGCACTCGGGAGGCAGAGGTAGAGGCAAGTGTATCTCTGTGTTTGAGGCCAGCCTGATCTACAGAGCGAGTACCAGTACAGGCTCCAAAACAATACAGAGAAACCCTGTCTTTGGGGAAAAAAAAACAAAACAAAACAAAACAGATACAGTAGTGCACATCCGTATTTAAAGCACTCCTCTGACAAGATGGAAGAGTGGTGGAGAAAGGAGAATTATCTCCCGGAAGCTCACAAAACACTATTCTGGACCATGCAATGCAGTGGCAGAAACCAGAGATTCTATACCCAGAGGTAGGAGAAAACAGACTCCTAGAAGTTATTTCTGACTTCTATATGTGTGCAATAGCTTACAAATACCAGCACTCACACCCAAATAACTTTTAAAAATAAGGACAGACTGAATGGTTGGTTCCAGTATCATCACACATACAATATATAGAAAGAAAAAACTGAATAGACTTGAGCTAACCACAAAAGAGAAAAGCAACATTAACAGTGGATGGCCCTAGATCTCATTTATTCAAAGTCAGCCATATAATAAAAAAGCATTAATTAATTATGGTACAAGATAGAAACTGTTAATAAAAAATAAAAATAATAGCTACAGGTCAAGCAAGATGGCTCAGTGGGTAAAGGTGACAGCCACCAAGCCTGACAATCCAAGTTCAATTCCCAGGATCCACATGTGAGATCACTGACTCTTGCCAATTCACTGATCTTCTGACAGCCACATACACCTAGCAGCATGTTACATAAATATATACAAAATAAATGAATATACTTTTTAATAATAAACTACCATCCTCTAGTATGCAATTAATTCTATAGAAAACCAAGTCCATACAGGCACTGACCAAATACTGGCACATGTGTACATATACATACACATACATTTTTTTCTTCCATACACGTACCCATTTATAAAATCACCCTATTCCCATGGCTGAAATTTATGTGTTTTACTGAACTCCCACAACAAAAGGGAATATAACTGACTTAATTTCCCATAAATCTCATAGTTTGGTAAAATGCATCTTATATCCCATCCTATAAAACATTTCTGAAATTAGTCAAGGTCAACCTGAAATGAAATTCATGTTTAACAAAACAAATATAAATATGTGTGCTTATCATTATTAATTTGTGACTAACTTTCCTCATGCATAAGTCTGTTATGTCTGAATAATCAATGCATAATATCAATCCATAATATCAATCAGGAGGTGTGTAATTAGATCGCATATAAAATGAACTTCAAGTAGATAAATTTCATTTTGGAATACACTAGTAAGCTAGGAACTCATTTCTCAATAAACCCTGTTATGTAAAACTGTACCTATAAAAATTGACTGTGGTATGAATCATGTAATCTGTGTTGAATTCTGTCCTGTTAAGACCCTTCCTACACTCACAGCACACATAGGAAATCCCCACCCAAGAACTGATGATAGGACTGATCTGTGATATAGTATTGAATGATTTCCCAATCATGACATTCCAAAACCTCTTCAATGTGAGTTCTTTCACAAATTGCAAAATCTGACCCACATTGTGAGAGACAAAGTTCTCACCCTAGTATGAGGCATGTGATGTCTATGAAGTTTGCCTGCTACTCAAGACTTTCCCACATTCAGACCACAGAGGTCTCCCTCATGGGTGAATTCCTTTGTTTATGCTGTCGGAGTTGGGCACTAGAAGCCAAGACTTTCCCACAGACGCAACACCTGGAAGCCTTCTTCACCATGTGAATTTGATGGTATCCCCTCAGTTGGTGATCTGACTAAATGATTTTCCAGTCTTGACATTCCTAAGGTTTGTCCTCAGTGTGAGTTTGTAGATGAGATGTCAATTCTGACTTCTGTAAGAACACTTGTCCACATCTCTCACACACAAAAGGTGTCTCCTTCCTGTGAATCAACTTATGTTTAGAGAAAACTGACCTGCTTCTAAAGGTTTTCCCACAATGAGTACACACATAAGGTCTCTCTCCCGTGTGAATTCGCTCATGCTCTTGGAGTTGGACCTTAGTACAAAAGGCTTTCCAACAGCTGCTGCATTTGTAAGGTCTCTCTCCTGTGTGAATTAGAAGATGCACCTTCAGTTCAGATGGAGAACAAAATGATTTCCCACAGAAACTGCATTTGTAAGGCTTTTCAACCATGTGAATTTTTTCATGTCTGCTCAATGTTGACAATTGCTTGAAGGCCTTTCCACACACAGAACACACATAAGGCCTCTCCCCAGTGTGAATTCGAGAATGTGCCTTCAGTTGAGATGTTTTACTAAATGATTTCCCACAATCAAGACATTTACAAGGCTTCTCTCCTGTGTGGATTTGATAATGTGATTTCAGTTGGGATGGGTAGTTAAACAACTTTCCACAGTCAGGGCATTTGTAAGGCTTCTCACCAATATTAAGTTGCTGATGGGGGGTCAAAGTAGACCCCGGGAGGCCTGCCTCACACTTCTGAGAGACAAAAGGCTTCTCTTTAGTGTGAATTAACTGATGTTTACGGAAAGATGACCTGCTACTGAAGGCTTTTCCACACTCAGTGCATACAAAGGGCTTCTCTCCTGTGTGGATTCGCTCATGCTCTTGGACTTGTTCCTTAGTTGAGAAGGCTTTTCCACAATGGCTGCATTTATAAGGTCTCTCTCCCGTGTGGACTCGATAATGTGCCTTCAGTTGGGACATTTTACTGAACAGTTTCCAACATTCATTGCATTTGTAAGGCTTCTCTCCTGTGTGGTTCTGATAATGTACCTTCAACTCACATGGAAAATTAAAGGATTTCCCACACTCGTGGCATTTATAAGGCTTCTCCCCTGTATGACTATGGCAATGCACCTTTAGTTGGGATGGATAATTAAATGACTTCCCACAGTCACTGCATTTATAAGGCTTCTCCCCAGGGTGAAGTTTTTCATGCCTGTCTAGTATTGATTTCTGGTTGAAGGCCTTTCCACACTGAGAACACACATAAGGTTTCTCCCCTGTGTGAATACGTTGATGCACCTTGAGTTTGGCTGTTTTACTGAATGATTTTCCACACTCACGGCATTCATAAGGCTTCTCACCCGTGTGACTTTGGTGATGCACCTTCAGCTGGGATGGAAATTTAAAGGATTTTCCACAGTCATTGCATTTGTAAGGCTTCTCTCCATTGTGACTTTGTTTATGAGATGTCAACTCTGACTTGCGTAAGAAGGCCTTCCCACATTTGTCACAGATAAAAGGCGTGTGATTCTTGTGAATCAATTCATGCTCATAGAAAGCTGACCTGTCTCTGACGGCTTTTCCACACAGTGTACACACATACGGCTTCTCTTCTGTGTGAATCTGCTCATGCTCTTGGAGTGCAGCCTCAGTACAAAAGGATTTCTCACAGCTGCTGCATTTGTAAGGGTCCCCTCCAGTGTGAACTAGATGATCCACCTTCAACTGGAATGGATAACTCGATGAATCTGACAGGTAAAGGAAGGCCTTGCCACCATTGTAAGAAACAATAGGTCTGTCCAGAGTGAGAGTGATCTCAGGCTTGTGCAAAGAGATGGCATAGACTATCTCCCCACACTGAGAACCTTGACCTGCTTTCTCCTGAGGATGGTTTTCATGTTGTTTATGGCTGAGAACTTCTCCATTCCTAGTACTTCTGCATGATTCTTCTCCGTGAGTAACCACACAGTTAGCATTACAAGAGCCTTGTATCAGGAGCTGACTGGATGCAACAATGTTAATAAGCTGTTCTGTGACACAGCTTTCATTCTGACCATTTGCTCCTATGTTTAGCTCCAAACTTTTTGGAAGTAAGCAATATTGTGGAAGATTCTCTTGTGTAGAAATGAGGTAGGGTCCCAAAGGAATGGTTTTCCCAGGCTTTTGATATTCATGACCACTATTTGTGCTCAGAGTTTTCTTGAGGACAGGAGGCAAAGGTAAAATATGGTTTTGTTTCTCTCTCTTAGCAATATCAGCACCCAGCCGTAGCTCTTGTAAAGGAGAACACCATGAACCATCTCTTCTGACTTCACTTGCCACATCGCTGTGAACTGACGCTTTCTCACATACTTTCTGTGGTGGGGTGTCAACTCCTGATTTTTCTAGGAACAGAAAGAGATGAAGAATGAACCATACAGAGGAACTGAATCTGAACATAAATGCCTAAATCCGATACTAATGATGCTGATGATACTCTAACAATCAGTAGAAACAAGCTAATCAACAACTGTATACAATGGGGACCATCTACATAGCAGACATTAATTATGACAACAATGGATCAGAGGACAAGGTATATAAACTACCCAGCTGTATTTTTAAGACAGAAGTAAAAAAACATGATACGAACATCAGAAAGTTTCTGAATTCTATATTACAAATTAACTGACTGCATCAAAATGTATTAAAAAGCAAAATAACATTTGTTGCAATAAAATCCATCAGTAACATTTTGATTAATCACATCTTTAGTGGAATCCATAAATCACATAAGGAAAACTTAACCTAAATAAGAAAGACCCAGACATGGTGGGTCCCTTTAATCCCAGCACGTGGGAAGCAGAAGCAAGGGGTTCTCTGTGAGTACAAGACAGACTAATCTAAAAAGCCAGACACAAGACCTACCTTTAAAAAAAAAAAAAAGAAAAAAAAAAAAGCCATAATAACCATGAATAAATAAATAAATACCACAGAAAGGAACAAATAAGAAAAGAAGGAGATGCCAATGGGGTTAAGGAAATAACTTGTGTATTCAAAAAGGAAAATGGGTAGGGATTCAAAATAATAAATTAAAGCACCAAGAAAAATAGTTCAGAAGCCCAGAAAGTCAGACAAAAAAGACTTTCTGACTTGACTGAAGTAGATCCCAATTTCTGATCTCCCAAAATGAAGGAAGAGATCCATCTTACAGGAACAGGAATGTTCTCATATCTAAATAAGGCAGGACAGACTATAAGATCAAGGACTAAGAAATTAACATAATACAACCTGAGAATTGTATATTCAGAATGAACAGGGCCTTTAAGGTAAACCTATCACAGAATGAGAAAAGGAACATAACAGAACACTAAGCCTAATGTGCCACAAGAGGAAAAGATGAACTAGCACAGAAAAGGAAAAAAAAAAAAAAAAAAAATCAATGAATTCAGAGACAGACAGGAAAAGCAAAAACATAGACCAATATAAACAATAATAAGAACCCAAAAGAAATATGCTACAATATACTAAAAGTCAGTTGTTAGAACACATACAAATTATAACCAGTCCTTTCTCCATTACTTGGGCAATATATTAACCAAGTTGACTAATGTCAGATGTTCACCAACAAGATGTGCAAATAAAAATTCTTGTGCATTTACACATGGGAGTGTAACTGGTCATTAGAAAATGGCTGAGTTAGTCCACTTAGGTTCATTCATATTCATGGTCAGACAAGGTTGTCCCACAAATTCACCTTTCAGAAAGTCTCACATTGGCTCCCATCAATAACAAAAGGACTGCAGAATTAACCATAAAAATTCCCAAGGAGAAGACAAGCTAAAAGTTACCACTGCTGGGGAACTGGAGAGACAAACTGACAATGGCCTCGTGAAATCTACCCCCACCTGGAAAGCAATGGCTCACCTTGACACTGCTGGTTTGGGAATTCAGCCTTCCCTGCCTGTGTCTCCTTTCCTTTTTCCATCCTAAAGATGACTCCAGGGCTGGGAATAGGATACCCTGTTAATCAGAAGGATATTGGGTTTTGGGGTAGGTCCTTGTCTTTAGAGATGATACAATGAAGTTTTGCACTACCTCATTGGCAAAACCAAGTCAACATTTTCTATTCTGGATAATTAATACTTGTAGGTACATTCAAGAAATGAAGCATCAGGGCAAAAAAGCAAACACACACACACACACACACACACACACACACACACACACACACCACAGAGAGAGAGAGACAATAGAGGGGGGACTTATGATACCCCACCATGCTTTGCAAAGAGAAAGAAGGCAACCCCCTCAATGGAGCTCATCCTGGGTCCCCAGGCCAGCTGTGCTCACCCACTGCCAAGAGGTGGCTGTAGATCTCCAGCATCACGTCCTGGTACAGGAGTCTCTGGGCAGAGTCCAGTTGCTGCCATTCCTCCTGGCTAAAGGTCACAGTCACATCTTCAAAGGACATCCACCTCTGTAACAATGCACCACAGTTCACTGTGAATGACTCATCATTGGAAATGGAAAAGTTATATATAAGGTTAGACTTTTAATGATATTTTACTGCATTTCCCACAAAAGATCTATTTACCATTAGTTTGGGTGATAGAGAACACTTATAAAGCAAGCAATCCTGCCATCCATCAAACAGTCACATTTTTAAGGACATTAGGATTCTTTTTAATGCTCTAAGAAAGAGTACACAGCACAAAACTAATTAATCAATGATATTCCAGGTTAGAGTTATGCTGGACCCATTGGATTCAATGTTACAAAACAGGCTTTTAGAAGCTGCTTTGTTAAAAGTATTAACTTCTCACTTGGGAACTAAATGGCAGATTAAATCCTGGCATCTGACTTCATTGTGTGTCTATCTATCTCCTTGACTTTGGGTCACCTACTTTCCTAAACATATGAGCACATATTACTCAAGGAGCACCAATCTAAAGTACCCTAACTCCCTTCAAAAATGAAGGTGAAAAGATTGGTCATTGTCCTTGTCCTTAATTTTTCCTCTTGAGGCTGTACCCTGAAGCAAAAGTAATCACCTCACAAGAATCCCTTTCTTGAAATAGGGGCTTCTTAGTTATACATGTGGCTGTTTACTGATCAGCTATGGAAACAAGTCCCCTGGAACCTGGTTCCTGGAATGGAGAGGGGACATAATTCTCTTTCTTCTTCTCCCTCTCTCCAGAGTTCTGTGGCCTGACTGGCCTGGAACTTGCTATGTAAATCAGGACACCCTAGGACTGCATTTATCCTCCTCCTCTGTGTAATATCTTCTCAAGATGCTTCTACTAAGTATTTTGTCCAGGTGAGGAGAACAGTAAGGACACCTGCATTTTATCTTATCAGCACTTCAGTCTCTCTGTCTCACTGTACAATGCACTTCACAGAACTCCTGATAGCACGGAAGAAAGAACCCTCACACAAAACTCACACCAACAGACACAGATGACATCATCTGAACAAGGTAATTAAAAAAAAAAAAAAAAAAGACACCACATCTTACATACAGCTACTGCTAATAAATGTAAGCTTCACTCCCTCTTCCACATGCGGTTAGGTGTCTCTATGGCCCTTGGCGTCAGAAACTCCAACTTCAGTTTATATGGATATCTCTTGAAACCATTTCTACAACTCAGAATCCTTGGGCCACCTGAGTAGAGCTTGTAATGGTCACTGTTAATTGTTAATTAATGTGAGAAGACCTGTCATAATTATATACAAGACCATTCTCGAGGCATGAGATACTGGACTATATTAGGTGGGGAAAATGGAATTAAAGAGATGATTTTGCAGTTTAGAACACCTATTGCTATTGGTGAGTACCTGGGTTCAATTCCCAGCATCTACATGGTGGCTCACAACTAGCTATAACTCTAGTTCCAGATGACCTGATGCTTCTTCTAGTCTCCAAAAGCACCAGGTACACACACTGTACAAATACATGCAATCAAAATATTCAATATACCTATAAAATTTAATAATCCCACGATACAGACTCTTCAAATTACAATCTGAAATGTTGCTCTGAGTCTTCCTTGGCTACAAGTCACCATCATACTGGACTTCACATGTTTAGATTTCAATACCAGCTTACCAGAGATTGAGAAAAGGAGTTCATGTTAGATGACAGAATCAAAAAGCAACTTAGCCAAATCTAGAATTTGTCACAATCTAAAGGATAACCCAAAGTTCTTCAAGAAGTGATTAACATGGCAGAGAAAAATTAAGAGATTAAAAGAAACTAAACTACTTTTTAGTTTGGCTGGATATGTGGGCACTGGCTCAACCCTGAGAGGAAGTATGACCAGGCACAGATGATTCCAAGGATTTATGGTAATGTAAAAAGGGTATCATCTCAGAGATAAATACCAACAGAGAGAAAAGTATAGCCTCTAATATTTGGTTTTTAAATAACCTAGCAATGAAAAAGGGGATGAAACAGGAAACCTATGCTGATAATGACTCAAAGAAAGGGTTAGGGACACAATTCGTTTTACTTTTACTTATGTATGAAAATCTGAATAATGCAGGCTCCCCACATGTGTAACTGGGCACATGACTATTTCCTTCTAGAACTTCAAGTACTTTTGATAGCTCTTCTTCCGGGCTGACCTCGTGACACCGGCAAACAGGCAAAGCCGTGCCACTCACCCACCCGCCATTCTTCTGTGTGAAAAATATTTTGTATTAAAATTCTTTACATTAACATGTCAGACATATAACTGTAACTATTATGGATAATTATAGAAATTCTCAGCTAAAATGTTTAATGGAGAAAATCTCAGTTGAAAATATTACTATGAGATGTTTCCTTGGGGAAGCATTCAAGGATTTATTAAAAACTATTGCCTACTAAGAATAGAATATCACACAACCAGGCTTAGCGACATATACTTTTAATTTCAGCACTCCCAAGGCAGTTGGCAAGTGGATCTCTGAGAGTTCGAGGCTGGCTGAGTCTACATAGTAGTTTCAGGACAGCCAAGGCAACACAAGAGAACCCTGCCTCAAAGTCAAAACAAGCCCCCCCCCCGAATGTATGCACCCTAAAAATTCACATCTACCTTCGATAACTAATCGATTCGTGAGAGTGGAGCCTTCATAAATGGTACTTTAAGAATATATGACAACACACTGAGAAGACGAAACTGAGCAATTAGGTAGCCGAGCCTCAGCAGACAAGCAACCTGCTAGGACTCTGAAGCCTTCATACCTGAGAGAAGCATGGGGAGACCTTGACAAAACAAGAGTTCAGGGCCAACCTCAGTGTCATAGCTGGTTTGAGACTACCTGGAACAACTAAGACCCTTTCTTTGAAGAAAAAGTTTAACAAAAAGGAAGAAAATAATATTTAACAGTACAAAAAATTCAGAAGGAACAAAACAACTATAAGACCAAAATAAGCAGCAAAAAATAATGGAAACCATAAAAATATAAGAAAAAAGGATATCTGGCCACTCGGAGTTCCTGCGGGTAAGATCCTTGACCCCCAAATCCGGGCCCCTGCCAAAGAACAAGGTCTCAGCTGGAGAGCGCCAGTTTCCAGTGAGATCCCACTACCCTGCAAAACCTTCTCAAGTTCCAGCCCAGCCCTCGTCCTCTTCTGCCGGCTATTGGCCAGAGGTGAGTCTGGGCCCAATTGGGGCTGCCTGTCCCCTTCAACCTCTATTCCCCCCTCAACCGCCTGAACTCCCTGGATTGGCCCCTGATCCTGCTGCTCCTGTCTCCGGTCCCCATTGAGAGCACCCTTGGAGCTCTGATACACCCCCACCCATCCCAACCTCCAGCCTACCCGCCCCCTACCCTGTGCCCTACCCCACCTACGGTCCTGCCGCTCTGGTTGAGCACTGGGACAGAGGGTGGAGCCAACTGTCCACCCTACTTCGGAGACCTCTCGGAGCAACTCCGAACAAAGGAGACCTGACTATCCACGTGGGACCACCTGTAATTTCCACCGGCTTGGTCTCTGACCCCGCCTCCAGTCCTCTACTGGAGTCCCAAGCCCCTCCCACAGATCCGCCTATCTCTGCGGGTCCACTTGGAGTTCCTGCGGGCAAGATCCTTGACCCCCAAATCCGGGCCCCTGCCAAAGAACAAGGTCTCAGCTGGAGAGTGCCAGTTTCCAGTGAGATCCCACTACCCTGCAAAACCTTCTCAAGTTCAAGCCCAGCCCTCGTCCCTTTCTGCCGGTCATTGGCCAGAGCTATTGGCCAGAGCTATTGGCCAGAGGACCACTGTGAGTACCTGCTGGCATCTTCTTCTGGATCCTCATCCTTGACCCCATTCCTGGATCCCTGTCTGCAGAGAAACCTCCTAGAGCTTGGACCACACAGAGCTACAGAAATTGAATCTTTGATCCACAAAAGCCCAACGGGGAAGGACCATAGAGAGAGGGAAGAGACACCACCAACACCTCCTGGAAGAAACTATGGGAAGAAGGCAATACAAGAGAACACCTAACAACAGAAAGACAAACATGATACCACCAGAATCTAGGGAATCTCTACCAATTAGAATGGAACACAACAACAAAGCAGAGGAAGCAGAAGGGTACGACTTAAAAATCACCATCATAAAAATGATAGAGGCCCTCAAAGAAGATATGAGAAAATCCCTTAAAGAAATGGAGGAAAAAACAAACAAAAAAGTGGAAGAAATGAACAAATTCCTTAAGGAAAGTAAAGAAAGTACAGAAAGCCAAGAAAAAACAATTAACCAGGTGAAGGAAACGGTTCAAGATTTGAAAACAGAAATTGAGAAAATAAAGGCAACACAAATGGAAGGAAAGCTGGAAATTGAAAAGCTGGGCAAAAAATCAGAAACCATGGACACAAGCATAACCAATAGAATTCAAGAGATGGAAGAGAGAATCTCAGGCACAGAAGATAAACTAGAAGAAATAGATTCATCGACCAAAGAAAACCATAAATCCAACAAATCCTTAACACACAACATCCAGGAAATGTGGGACACCATGAAAAGGCCAAACCTAAGAATAATAGGCATAGAGGAAGGTGAGGAAGCCCAGCTCAAAGGTGCTGAAAACATATTAAACAAAATCATCTAGGAAAACTTTCCAAATCTGAAGAAGGACATGCCCATGAAAGTACAAGAAGCATACCGAACCCCAACTAGGCTGGACCAAAGAAAAAAGACCCCTCGACATATAATAATCAAAACACCTAGCATACAAAATAAAGAAAGAATATTAAGAGCAGCGAAGGAAAAAGGACAGGTAACATATAAAGGCAGACCTATCAAAATTACACCTGACTTCTCCATGGAAACCCTCAAGGCCAGAAGGTCCTGGATAGATGTTCTAAAAGTATTAAGAGAACACGGATGCCAGCCTAGGCTACTATATCCAGCAAAACTCTCAGTCAATATAGATGGAGAGAACAAGATATTCAATGACAAAACCAGATTTTCCCAATATGTATCTACAAATCAAGCCCTACAGAAAGT